GATTGACTTTCTTGAACCATCCGAAAACCGGTTTGAACCGGTTCCAAAGTGGTTAAAACTTTTCCTGAACCGGTTCTGGTTGGGAAAATCGTGGGTAACCAGTCTTTCCTTACATGGGGATAAATGGGTTCCCGTTCTACATTCTTCTTCATACTGTCGCTCCTGGAGTGGCATGCTTCGATGAATTCCTGTNTGAAGACGGCATTTTCAACATCCACGTGGATTGAGATTTGCGACTTCTCTCTTTCTTTTGATCGCTAGTGTTTGTTCGTGTAGTCGTGTCTCGAGTATCCCCTCGTCTCGACACGTTGATTCGTATATGGCGTTTGGGGAATCTTGTTTTGGTACTTGATCCCTTGGCCTTGATGGGATAACCTTCACTGTCACCGTTGTCATATGTGCAACCCAAATTCCTGATGGTGGTAATAATCTAGCTGCCATTTCCCAGACTCCCTGTGTATATGACCGTGTTCGTGGCGTACAGTGGCGTTCCTGTATCTTCTCAATTTCGCAACCTTAGTCCACTGAAGTCGTCCATTTTCTCTTCGACTTTACTTTAAAATGACGTCTTCTCTTAGTGCTTCATCCAAATGGGCAATCAAAAGACAGCAACCAAAAACAGCGCACGAAGGTCCATGGCTAACTGTTGTGCACACTGAGACTGTTGTTCGTTTTATCGTCGATCATTTTTCTGGTTCTGCATTTGAGGCTTCTCCCTAGGCTTCAAATTTCTTCTCCTTGAGCGTAGTATTATAAGCAGCGTAGAACGAGATTTCGTGGGTATCCGTATTAATTAATATTATTAATTAATTATCATTATTAATTAAGTAATGCGCCAAAACACCTCAGAAAGGTTAACTCCCTCTTCTGGAAAATACTGCAGTGCGCTTTTGCTCATTTTAAAAGTGTTTGTACCTAGCTTCTCTTGTATGCCAGGCTGTGGTTGCCCTGAAAGCTGAGGATCTGATCACTGTGAGTTGGCTTTCGCTAAACATCGNATCTTCCGCTCGTTTGACCAGTACATCCAGAAAGAGTAGTTGTCCGTTCTGTTCCTTCCCCAAGGTGAGTTTGATTCCAGCGAGCACGTTGTTTAATGCAGTTGGTTAGATTTCAAGATAACAAGGGTGTCATCAACTGGACAGACTCAACTTCGAGATGATGACCGCTTCTGCGCTGAGTCCTGAATTTGATGATCCCATCGGAGTGCCTCGTATTTCTTCGGTCACGCTGATCGCCGGCTCTTCCCCGAAGTTGCACTGATGATGTTGCCTGACTTGGCTACGAAAGGTCTGCGAACAACACACTTCCAGCTCAGAGAACACACAAGCACCAACATCCGCACCTCTACAATCATTCCACATTATTTTCAACCATTCCGTATTCCAGTGAGACTGTTCGTGTTTGATCGTTAACAGTGCATTTATATATATACTACTACTACACTGATACCGTCGCCAGGATCAGGATGAAGGTCCCATGACCAGCAGCCTTAGAAAATGGAGATGTGCGGGTGTTCCTGGAGGAGTTCGAGAATGTGGCGGAGCTGGCCGGAATACGGACGGACCGCGGCAAGTTGACGGCCCACCGGGCGCTTCTCAAGGGCCGTGCACGGGTAGTTTTGGACGCGGTACGAAGAGGCCCGGAGAAGATGAAGTGGGCCGCTGCGAAGGACTTCCCGATAGTGGGTTTCGACACTCCAGCCGACCGCCAGAAAATGCAGCAAACTGGGCCACTGGCGGAGGCATTGCCCAGAGGGATACAAAAAATGTTCTCTCGAGAAACGGTTGACGCAGAACACGCCCATCGCTTCAAACAAGGCTGTAATGGGAGCAGTAAATCGCGGTGCACTCCAGGCCCAATCGGAGATACAGGATCGGAAAGAGCTATGCCTAATGGACACTGGAGTGGCCATATCGTTGGCGAGACCCCAAGCACATGAACCCTTGGAACCATGAAATACAGTAGTGAAAACAGTCGTTGGTTACCAGTTGAAGGTAGATGGGGTAGCCAAACGGACAGTCCGCATTGGAAACAAGATAATCAATAATCCACTTGTCATATCAAAAGACACAAACCAGACTGTAGTGGGAGCAGATATCTTGCGCAATTTAAGAGCCGTGATTGATCTGAATAACGAACGGCTTGTTACCAGATTCGGCACGATCCCGCTATCACGCTCTAAAGGGGAAAAGTTGTCAGCCGAGTACAGAAACAACTCACACGAATGTGCCACCGTCAATCCGGCCAGTGGTGCAACGATACTCCCACCTGTTCACAGGCGATGATGACCCGTACGGGTTCTGTAACTGGGTGGAACACGAAATTCCAATAAAGGCAGAAAAACTTTGAGCCTATGTTTCACGCCGAATTCCACTACACTTGGGGGACGAAATCAAGCGGTAGGTCGAACAAATGTTGAAGGAAGGAATCTTTGAAGAAACTCGAAGTCCGTATAGCTCGCCTGTTCTACTGTTCAAAAAGCCCAACGGTAAATTTCTGTTCTGTGTGAATTTCCGCCAAGTAAACACTGTGACTATAAACAAACCGATTGTGACAGAAACTTTTGACCAACTGCAATGCGCAAAAGTGTCCTCAGTTGTGGATATATGATCGGGATATTGGCAAGTACCAATAAAGAAAGCCGACCGAGAGAAAACGGCGTTCACAATGGACGATAGACAATATCAGTTCAAACGAATGCCATTCGGACTATCAGGAGCACTATTTACATTCCGCCTCCTCATGTTAAAGTTACTCGACGGTGTCCCCAACGTGGTGGTGTATGTTGACGATATTTTTGTCTACAGTCAAACAACAACCGAACACACATTCCACTTGGAAAATGTCCTGGAACGAATCCAAGAATCTGGCCTTTGAATTAATGGATCGAAGTCCCAAATTGAGGAGCCGACAGTGACCTCACTTGGGCACGAGGTTGGAAACGGAAAATTAGGTCCATTTCCTGAGAAGATCCTCAAGTTAAAGGAATTTGCACACCCAACATCGAAACGAACATTAAGACAGTTTCTGGTCTGTGCCGCCTACTATAGCCGGTTCGTCAAAAATTTTACGAATATCGCTGAACCGTTATACGCCTTGCTCAAAAAAGAATATCGCTTCGATGGACACCAGAGGCCCAGAAAGCTATCGATGAACTCCAAAGGATCATGACCGAATAACACCTGACACTGAAGTTGCCGGTGATTGGCGAGCGCTTCACAGTGGTAGCGGATGCCAGTGACGTTGGAGTGGTAACCGTACTCAAACAAGCACGTGGAGTGGTTGAATACGCAAGCAGGGTCCTTACACCAACGAAAAGAAAATATTCCACCACGGAAAAAGAATGTATCGCAATCGTTTGGGCCGTAGATAAGTGGCGACCATACCTTCTGGGTCAAAGGTTTTATATAGAAACAGACCACAAGCCGCTGGAGTGGATTAAAACCGCCGAGGACCCGAGAGGAAACCTAGTCCGATGGGCGCTTCGCCTTCAGGATCAATCATGTTGCAGGTGTCGAAGACTGCATGGCGGATATTGTCTCGTCAGAAGGAAGCAGATTCCTTCACTGTCAGTATGCTGGCAGTGGGACAAGACCCGCACGAATTGGTGAAGGAACAGCGCAAGGACCAAGAACTCCGCAAGGTGATCGAAGCAATCTCAGAAAGCCAGCAATACCGAAACGTTCAACATATTACACACATGAATTCACGGAAATCCGTATGGAAGCAGCTTTATTTGAATGCTGCTGGTATCTTAATGAAAAGGTAGCCAAGAGGAAAACGCCCTGTGGTCGTCATTCTGAACCAGCTGCGTCAAATCATCATCAACGAAAATCATGAACTGACCCACACTGGATGCGCTCGAACAAACGATCTGCTTCGACAGCGGGTATGTTGTCCAAATATACAGGCTGAGGTGACAAATCAGGTACTGTGAAAAATGTCAGCTGTTCAAGTCAGACTCCCGCCCATCACAATGTCCAATTCAGTCAATATCAATATCCGAGATCGGCGAGCTATGGCCCATCGGTCTCATGGGTCCATTTCCGATGTCCCCTAGAGGACACCAATACATCGTTGTAATGACGGAACACTTCACGTGCTGGATTGAAGCCGTAGGAGTCGCGGATCCAAAAGCCGCCACGATAAGCAGAGTTATGATGGAGCATATTGTGGCGAATCATAGTGTACCACAAATCATCCTTATAGATCAAGGCCCGTGCTTTGAGAGTGATGAATTTCGCACGTGCTTAACGAAATTAGGCATCAAAAAGATACGCATAACGCCCTATTACCCACAAACCAACGGCCGCACCGAACGCAATTACAGAACAATCAAAGAATGGCTGGCAGCGAAAGGAGGGGATTGGGAATCGGCCCTACCTGCCCTACTTTTAGCTCACCGCTCGACCACGCAGGCCAGTACCAACCACACTATTTCAACTGATGTATGGAAGAATTCCGAGGCTGCCAGTAGTCTCAATGTTGGCGTTTGGCCACGAAACGATTTATCTCCGCAACAACTTCAACAGATAAGACGTGAAGCCCGGACTAAGCTGGAGAATGCGCAGGCGAATACAATGCGCAAGTCTAGGATACAGACTAGACGGACGGCCAGTGTGCTTCCGGTTGGATCTAAAGTAAAGTATAAGCAGCATGTTGGGGGATTCGTAAGCGGCCCTGGCTCGAGGAAGTTAATTCTCAAATGGAAAGGTCGATACCGCATAGTCGAACAACGCCATCCCGTGTACGAAATTCAACGGATGAACGAAGTCCGTCCCGCACATCGGAACGATCTCGCAACATAGCACGAGGAGATGTACAGCACATGCGGCAAACCAACAAGAGAAATTCCAGAACCCAAATACATAAGATCAGGCATGATGCCGCCAAACGTCGAAAATCGGAGACAAACGCGAGCACAATCCAAGATACAGTTGTCCACTGGTCAAGGCATACAGAGATCCCTTCCGTCGGGGGGGGGGGAGTGTTGTGAGATACTACTCACTTGTGAGTGGTACGCAAAAAGATGCG